GAAAAATAATAAAATGTTGAATTACAATTTTTTGTATTTTTTCTTACTGTTTTAATTTTATTAATAATATTTTGAAGTTTGACATTTCTCAGGTAGGGGGTAGTTACCCAGAATACCACTCCCCACCCCCACCCCTTACCTTTTTATCTGCCCCTTACACTGTTTAACATAATTTTAACATAATTAACAAAAACATAATTTAATTATTTGTTAAAATTTAATATAGAAATAAATGTTAAAAAAAATATTTTCTTTTTTTTTAATCACAATAGAAAAAATAACGCATGTTGGCTCTGAAGATTTTGAAAAATGCTGTTTTTAACCCTTCCTATTATGTAGCTAAATCAGTTGAAACACTTACATTTTATAAAATATTTATTAAAAGAATATAAAATTACAGATCAAGCAGAATATTTTCCTTTTAAGGGTCTTTTTTTTACAGTCTGAATACATATTTCTATGCTCTTGCACACAGCTTAGCAAAAATTGCTTTTGTTCTTCCTTTGCAGTTATTAAACCATGAAAATCTTTAATAAGTTTTACTGCTCTTTTAGCTGCATCAATAACTGTACTTAAGGAAAGAATTTTTTTTTTGTTTCTATATAGACAACATCTTCATTCCACGTTGAAACGGATCTCTGGAGAATGTTCTCATTAATTTTTAATCAAGAAAATTAATTTGTGCTCTTGACAGACACAAAGTCAAAGTGCTCGTTTATCCTCGGTGCTAATTTTAATCTGGGATTGCAACAAACATATCTTTAAAAAGGAAATAGCTCTAGCCATCCACCTTGTTTGGTGCAATGCTCCAGGAGGTCTGCTTTTAATTTTTTTTCTCATTATCATCTCCTAAACAGATAGTTCAATCAGTTAAGTACAATAATATTTTGCAGTTCTCGATTACATTTGATTACAAAATGTCATTAATTCTTCTAATGTTGTTTTAAAAAAATGTTGTTTGAAGATATCAGTGTATGTTTCAATAGCAGTCAGATTAATAGTTTTCCAGTTGTCAAACTTTTTAAACATTGAGATAATAGGGCTACTTGTGACTTAGTGGATTTTTGTTTCAATCACACAATTTGTAAACGTGATGGCGGCAAGCAAAAACTAGTAATTCCCAGTCTAGTTTTTGTTCCAAAAGTACACAAGATCCTTTTAATGGTCCTGTATTAGACACTGTCTAATACAGGATCATTAAAAGAAATGTGTCACAGCACATTATTATTTGTTATTAAAGTTCCAGTCATAGAGTGCGTTTAACACAGCTTTAGCTTACTCTTGGCCAGAAGAGCTCTCCAGTTTGGGTACACCCAGCAGTTATTCCTTTTCTCTAAATGAATTTAGAGTTGCCAGATTTTCTTCTTTAGAGTTTCTTACATCTATTTTAGGTAATAACTTCCCATCCCAGTAAACGGTCGCTGTTTCAGGCATATTATTCTTAAAATCTGATTTAAAGATTCTGCTCTATATTTTCTACTTTATGTGCAAATGTATTGAATGTATGATTTGTGTATTAAGAAATCATCTCAGCTTCTAGTGCTTCTACTATATCCTGAAGTATATAGACAGAATCTCTTAAGGTTAAAATGTGATAATCTTTTTTCTTCCTCTTTTTATTATAGTTTTAGAACCATTTGTAAGTTATTAGTGATGTTCTTGTATCAAAGTTTGTTTGTATAAAAGCTTATATAAAGAATAAAAGATGACGATTAACTCCCGAAACTCATTTGCTAATGTCTTTTTTTTCTTCTTTTAATTTTCTCTGACTTGCCCTTTCTTCTTTTTTTGCTGATTTTTTTTCTGCAAAAAAAGAAGCTAAACATCCTGGTTGCCCTATTTTTTTTTTTTTTTTTTATTCTTTATATTATATTATTTTTTTATTCTTTATATTCTCTTTACTTTTGTATTTTTATCCATGTTGTATTATGCTATATCAAATAAATTATCAAAATTGTTTTGAAAATCCTCCTCAGGGTGCTTGAAAACATCTTGTTTTATTTTTGAATTTTTTTGCAACTCTCTCTAACCATGGTAAAGATCTACAAGTTTTTTTACACAATTATAGCTCTGGTAGTCTGGTATTCTAGCCTTTTTCCAAGATTCAATACATTCTTGAATGACAAGATTTGGGCTTTCACTAATAGTCAATTTTGAAAATATTAAAAAAAAGTACTGCAAGAACTTGTTGGTTAGACTGACTTAGCGCTTGTTATTTGATAATTCACGTCACCAACTAAGAATTTTTTTTTTCATTGGTTCACAACTACTCTACCGTTTCTTAAATGTAAAGCAATATGTGTTAATCACAAGAATAACTGAATCAGGGTTTTCTAAAATTGGGAATTTGCTTAAAGCGGTTTTTACAATCTCGCAAAATTGATAATAACTATCAATTTTCAATTATCAATATTGCATCATTGTAAAAACCGCTCTGAACATATCGATCTCTTTAACAAATAGCGCGAGTAAGTGCAACTATTGTGTAACTTGTATGAACATGATTTGATGCAAGTTGGCATGAGTTGTTGTACTCCAAATAAGGTAAAATTTTATTTTTAAGTGTTTTAGAAGCAAATGAACAAAACTAAGACCCCTGCGTTAGAAAATTTAAACTCTGAAAAAATACCACCAATACATACTTATTTCAAATTTTGATATTGGTTATAAAAGAATAAGTGAGCATTAATGTGCAGATTTATACTGTCAAAAGCAGCAGTACCTGATGTTGGGGTTGTACCAAATCTAAATGCTTTTGTTGCCTGTAGGTATCGTTCATTTTGGCATGTAGGCATGGTTACAATGATAGATATTACTAGAAACAATATCCAAATTAAATTTATGCTACCTTTTTGTCCATCTCAAAACTTTATGTTTCCCAAAAAATGATGTCTGATAGGTACCTTTGTCAAATTTAATTGTAGTAATCTATGTCTCTACAACAAGATCAAGGCGTGTATATAGCATTGAAGTAAATGGTTCTATTACTTTATCTAATAAATTTTAATTTGTAGAGTTAAACTTTCCCTAGTAAAAATAAAATAAAGGTGTTATGTGTTATGTTTGTTTTTAAATGTTTTAAGTTGTTTTATTGGATTCCTTGGACCAAATTATGTGTGCATATTTCAGCTTTTCATTGCACTTAGCAGAAACAAGACCCAAAACTTTATTTTAAAATAATGGGTTCAAGGCAAAATCAAAATAGATATATCATAGGAAGCGGTTGAAATGAAGTGATGAAATTTTGGTGTTCATAATTTAATAAAATCTTTGAGTGGTGTAAAAATCAGCAAAATCAAAGAATAAGGGTGGAATTTTAGAAAAATTGTTTTCACAAAGAATTACTCTTAGCTGAAAAACAAATGTTATAAAAATGCAAGTTATTAGAGTTAAGATTAATTGACAAAGAAGAAAATAATGAGTTATTAAGCATTTTAGTTGTTTTTATGAGTAATGACTTGGATGTTTATTTTTAATTTTTCAGAACAGAAAATTTCTTCAAGTTTTTTGCATAGCTTTCCAAACTTTAAAGCATCTTGCATGTATTTTTTCTACTTCTTTTCCTGTTTGTTATCAATAGTTTAAATGTGACTTATGTGCATGGAAATATCGACCCATATTATAGGAGAATCTTGCAGATTTTTGCATAGTATGGGTCTATCTTTTATACCTTTTGGGTTTTGGTTTTTATAGGTGTTTTAAGAAAGTTTTAAATAAGTTCTAATTCAATTTTTTATATATATATTTTTTGGTCTTACGCTTTACTATACATAAGGTAAATTTAAATATGGTTCTGTGAACCAAATTTCAATCATTTATCAGTTTAGCTATGGAAGTGTGATAAAACTGATTAAAAGATTTTAAAGCTCTTATCTTTTGTTTTATAAAAAAAAAAAAAACTATATTATAAGACTGTATTTTGTTGCTTAAATTTTATACATGATGCAAGTATTTATAAAAATCAAATAAAAAACTTTTTTATCAGTAATGTTTTGTAAAAACAACATAATGTTAGAATTTTTATTTTTTCTAATCAATCTATAAACGTTAAGTAGATTTAATCAACATAAATTTTAAAGTGTATCTATCTACTTAAAATTTATACATTTATTAACATATGTTTTCAATTGGTGAGCCAAATAAAGGCATGCAGTTGTAGTTTACCATTTAATGTATACAAGTTTGCTTATTATTATCTTCTAGTATATTTATTGAGTTTATGCATTCAATAATGCATGTTTTGATCACTTGATCATAAATTAAAGTGCTGAATGAAATAAAGTCATAAACTTGTTGATTTTTTTCTTGAAACATAGGTTTTAAACATTGAAAATTTTAGTATTTTTGTTTTTGGTATGCAGCTCAATGAAGAATAATAGTAATCCAGCTTTATTTCACTATTTTTCCTTGGTCCCCGGTGTTTAGAAGCTCTAAATGTGTTGGTTGACTTGTGATTTGCTATAAGAGAAAAATTCAAGAGGTTTAATAACTTCAAACTTATTGTTTATAAGTCTAAAGTCCTGGAGTCCTTGTTGCCAATATACCAAAGGACTCCAGGTTCAAAAATTGGTTGTTCCTTTAACTTAAAAGTCTTAATTTTTTATACCATTAGTAGTCCATAGGTTTTTTTATATTTTTAAAGTTCCTGGATACCAATAATTAGGAAGAAATAATCTTTTTGGGAGTTTAGGAGTTCTTTTTGGGACTTCATATCCCTGCTGAAAAAAATTTATTTTTGTCATTCATTTATAAGCTCCCTTAGAAAGATGTCCACATAAAATTATACATTTTTTTAAAGGAGCTATTTGAAGCCATCGTGTTGCTGATCAGGCATGTGTATTAGTTTGCATGCTTTTTTAATGTTTAAGGAGTCATTAGTAAGTATTCCCCACACTTTAAATGAACGAATTTTCAATATTTTTGATATTTTTAATTTTATGAAAAATAACCTTCTGTATGTCAGTTTGAAAATTCAAGTTTGAGAATTTATTCTTTTATAGATGGTATCACGGAAGTATTGGTGCTAAAGAAGCAGAAAGAATGTTACTGTCGAAAGGTAGACTTGGCAGTTATCTAGTTCGTGAGAGTCAAAGTCAACCTGGTCAGTTTGTCCTTGTTGTCAAGTGCGCAAATGGTGTACAGCAAGTAATAATAAGTTGTAGAAATAAAAAATATGAGATAAAGTCTGGTCCATCATTTGCATCCCTTCAAGAACTTATTGAGTATTATGTAATGAATCCAAAGTTGCATGATGTTAAGGATCAATCACCAATCAAATTGAGGGAGGTATAAACTTTAAGTTTTTTATAAATTTCAAAAGCTTTTAGTTTCTCTTAACTATATTTTTTTTATATTTATAAAAGTTTAAATATTCATTTAAAGCCTTTTCAAAGTACAAGTTTTGTTGCTTCTTCAATAAATGACAGAATAGCAGTTCTTCACAAACAGTATAAGAATGGAGTTTCTGGTTTTCGAGAAGAGTTTGAAGTATATTTCTAATTTTACATATATTCACTTTTGTTCTTTTTTATATTAAAATTTGATTATATAAAGTTTAAAATGTTAAGCAGTGTACAGTTCAAGTAAATTTTTAATATAGTCACTTTTTTCTTTTTTTTAATATTTTAATATTTAAATAAGTCTAAAGATTAGGATTTTAAACAATAAGGAATCGCCCATAAATTACACAACCCTAAATTTCACCTGTAAACAAAACAAACAAAATAGATTATAAGTTTTCCCTTGCAGAGCCTCAAGTCATATAAGTTATCAAAACAGCCTGTTAAGTTAAATTGACATTGTTTTATATTAAATATAATTAAATTAAATAAAAATCACTCTGTAAAAGAGCCTAAGATCTCCTCCTTTTTTCAAAATAAATTTAGCGTTGCGTAATTTCTGGACGATCCCTAAGTTAAAAGAAGTAACTAATGTTATAAAAACAACACAAAAGTTTTAATTGATGGACACAGTTACATTAAAACTTTACTGGCCAGAAAAAATATTTTTTACAAAAAGTGTCTAGGGTTCTTATGAAAATGAGTATTGGAGTATAAAAAAAATTTTCATAAAAAAATTAATTATAACATTTTTATAAAAAAAAATATTTATATATAGATATTTATCATTTAAATTTCATGGCTAATTCCTTTTTTAAAATAATTCTTTTTTGTACATACAAATCCAAAGAATATCAGAAAGTTGTTAGTTAATTGTCCTTTATTTCTTTGTTTTTATTGAGGGAGGCATGAACTTTCCTTAAGTTTCTTATAAATTTGAAAAACTTTTAGTTTCTCTAACTATATATTTTTTTAAATTTTTAAATGTTTAAAAAAATGTTCAATTTAAAGTCTTATTTGAAGTGCTTGGTTGCTTGTAAAACTAAATATTTAAAGTCTTTTTCAAAAAAAAAAAATCTTATTTTTACATACAAGTCCAAAGAAAAATTGTTAGTTGATCATCTTTTATTTCTTGGTATTCATAGTTTGTTGAAGTTGTTGGCAATGCAAAAAACTCTGTATAGAAGTTTTTATACTCTGCTATTGAATATTGAATATATTTTTCTACTTTTTTCAAATCAGATATTTTTTCATTGATTGCTACTTTGCCAGCATATGCAGGAGTATTACTTGATAGTAAGGGTAGCCTGGTACCCATCCGTTGTAAGAGCTGGAATTTATGACTGACTAAACAATCTATAGATTTATGTGTTGTTGTAAGACAAGGTGTGGTTTTTAGAAAATGTGAAGTATGAAACTTTGGAAATACCAAAAATGACTCTTTTGTCCTTGGCTATTTTTTTGCCATATAAATCCACTGATAGCACCATTTTCTTTTGATGATTTGGGCATTTCTTCATGTTAATAACATCTTACATTATTTGGCAGAAATAAGTGACCTCTTTTGGGTATGTAGTATTGCATCTCATTAATATTTATACCTAGCTCAGCTACCAGTGATAAAAGAATTTGGACCATGGCATTCTGGTTTTGATTCTGGCTGACACAACCATTTAAAAATAGGTGCAAATTCTTTGGTATTATTGCCAATATATTTTTAAATATAATTCAGCTCAAAAGAACAACTTACAGTTCATATAGGCAAAACTTATATAGCCATAGTTAATGCATATCTCCTGGTAAGGGATATTTGGAAGTGACAAATTTTTCATAAAATCAAATGCAATCCTATACACCTTTGAATTGTTCTTGTGTCTAGTTTTGATTTCTTGTATTTTTTTGTAAAATTTATTTGTTTAAATTTTGTGAATATCTGCTAGATTTTTTTGAGTTGTCATTTATGTGTGAATTTTTTAGTCTAATCTTTAACTCTTCACACAGTCCACAGACATTTTGCTTTCTAACAAATGTTGAGCTAAAATATTTGTGGAAATATTTTAAAGCTTATTTAACAGGATGATGCGGATATTTTTGTTCGTATGTGTGCATAATTTTTACATGAGTTTTTCATCTAAATAATATGATGTGTCTTTATTATAGCAGTGCACATATTTAACAGGAAATTATTCAGTATACTTCTTAATTAATGTATTACCAGATAATGCGTTGCACGGTGATCCCTTAGGCTTACCTCTGTGAGCTATGGGATGCTCTTTTTTTTTAAAGAAAATACATAAACATCTAATTTGCTTCAACGAAATTCAGTTCATACTGCAAAAAGCTTTCTTGCACACTTTTTTTCTAACACTATTTATCTTAATGTAATAATAATTAGGTAAACTCTTTTTTTTAAGGTTTTTCAGATCTAGGCTTACTTTTTTTTGTTATCGAGTTCATTTACAAACTGTATTGTTCTTTTTTTTATCATACTCAGATATAAGCTCCATAATTTTGAATTACACTTGTAAATAAGGAAAAAGATAAACATAATCTTGAAGTAGTGATAAAGTATTTATATTATTAACTGGAGATAAAAATTTAGCACTAATTATAATTATTATATGCGAGGAAATAAATAATGTAAATAAACAAAGTAACGAAAATTAAAGTCTAACAAATTTTAGTTTTCAATATTTTAATCAGAAAGTGGCATCTCAATCTATCAAAATATTTGAATAAAAATTGTGATAATGTATTTCCAAATAATGACTTAAATATTAGTATATCTGCTGTTATAGCTGGGCCATCATCTCAAGTTTGAACAAGTCCTTTGGTACCTGTTAGTTCTATAAGTTTTCCAATACCTTGTAAGAACCAATGGATAATGTCATACACAATATCAACTAATGGAACAGTTAGAAAATATTAGTATATAAATTGCAAAATTTATCTTAAGTGCAAATGTATCATTTAAAACTTCTAAAAATCAAGAATTGACATGATCATTTCATTGCAGGCCTTGCGATAAAGCGTCGGGCGATGTGAATTTTACGTCGTCCAAGAGCGATTTTGCGTGTAGCTAGGGCTATTTGCGTCGAGCAAAAAATTTTTTGTTTGAGTATATTTAAAGATATTTTTGAGCGGAATTTTAATGAAGTAATTTACGATTATTTTAACATTTAATAAAGTATTTCAAAAACCGCACGCAGTTGAAATAAAAGTTTGAATTAAAAAAAATGGAATATTTACAAGTAGAAAAAGTTCAGATTAAAAAAAAAGTTTAAACCTTTTAAGCTAACATTTTAATAAAATTATTCAGCAATAGCAAAATTGAACAAAAATACTTTCTTTTAGTTTTAGATTTTAAACTTAAATAATTATTTTACGGGGGTTTGTTAGGTTTTAAAATTATTCCATAGATTTAAAAATATTTATTAACTGTTAGACGTATTTAAAGTATGTAAGAGTAATTTTGAGGAAACATTTTAAAAATTGGTGAGCGCAAATAAAATAAAAAAAAAGGATTAATATTAAAACGTATTCTACTTGATTCAATAAAAAAAGTACAGTTATTAAAATTTTTGTAAAAAGTAACTCAAAAAAATTACTTAAATAATAACGATCGCTTTTATTTTAAAAGTTACCGAAACTCATGGAAGCGTGCTCAAGAACAGCTGCAGAAAAATAGAACGTCAATAGTTTTTCGAATAATTTTTTATAATAATTTTTAAGAATAATTTTTTTGCTAAAATATTTCTTTTATACCTATAAGATTTTTATTCTAACATTTTATTTTATTTTACTAGAAATAAAATTTCTTGTTAACATTAAAAATCTATTCAAAACGTTTGTTTAAGTTTTTTATTAATACGAGTGATTGTGCTTATCAACCGCTTTATGAAAATAAATAAAAATAAATAAAAATAAATAAATAAAAATTATATAAAATCGCTTGTAAAAATATTAGCTATTGCACAGTTTTTATTCGTACAATATTAAAATTTCCAGTTTATTACTCGCTGACTTTTAAAAAAGAAAAAATAATTATTTGAAAAACTTTAAATTACATATTTAAGAAAAAAAAAATCAAATATTAGCATATTTTATAATCTATTTTAAATTTAAGTTATAATGTTTTTTATTTGTTTAGTAAAGACAAAACGTGACAAACGTCGAGAAAATAAACAAATGTTTTACATTTTAAAAAACGAAACATTCCAAAACATTTTTAAATAATAACATTTCTACATAAACGATTTAAAGTAGTTTTGCGGTAATTAAGTAAATTGGTGCAGTTAATGTCGATAAATATGAAAAGCAAATAAAAAGAATTTAATGATGTCAAAAATCACGTCGTGCTTATGCGTCGCGCAGTTCTTATTCATCGCAAGGCCTGCATTGAGACCAAGATAAAATCCACCACATCATAAAATGCTTAGAGGAGTCCTTTTTTTAAAAGTTTACAATGAAGTAAACAACAAAATGATGGATCAAATTACCCAAGAATAAAAATTATACAAGATAGAGGGAGTAGTGTTATTAATGATCCAGTTATTGCACACAGAGCATATGACAGACTTAAAGGGATCCCAAACTCCCAACACATGTTGTGTTCATATTAAAGATAATGTTAAAAAAAAAGATTTGAACCAAATTTTTTTGATTAAAAATAAATAATGAATGCATACCGTGAAAAACAAATGTTGTTGTTTTTGCCGAAGCTCGTCTTCTCCATTTTTTTCAACTAATCGGAGTCTTCAAATTATGCGTCGCAATCTACAGACTTTGGCAATTCCTTTGAAGCGCGTTTAATTCATAAAAGTTTTAGTATTTGACGTCACGGTAGACTTTTAACAAAAGAAAAGTGTAATTAAACTAAGCTGCGTTTTTCTACTGTAGTATTTTTTTAACATACAGCAAAACAAATTTATTTGTATTATTTTTCCAAACATCGCAAAAAAAATTTTGAAAAAGTAAAAACAATAAATTATTTTTATTTTATAGGAGCAACTTATTTTTTACAGATATCTTAATAATTTTTAGATTTATATATCTTACTTATATTTCTTTAATTATTTTAGTTAAAACAAATATTAAAGCTTTACCAATCTCATGATTTTCATACGAGTATTTTACTTTATATAGAACGTTTTATATACGGTCTCTTGTTTTTGCGCAAGAGAGCGCAGTATTATATATTCTGATTCTTAATTATTTTTATTTAAACAAAGGGAACTATTTTCTAACTTTTCTGGTTATTTTTACGCTATGACAATTTTTTGTTTTCCCGTCGAAAAAAAGTATTTATTAACAATTACTTTCATAAACTGACAGTATTAATTAGAGATATTTAATGAATTGTTAACTTTTTTTATTATAAAATTTTTTTGATCAGGCTGATTTAATTTAAATTGCTAAATTTGCTGAATTGGATACAGATAAAAAGGAAATACCATTTTATTTTACATTTGATTTTTGATAATGAAATTTTTAAAGTGTCAACAACTCTATACCAATTAGAACCTGTTAAGATTATGAAAAAAAAGTGCAAGAATACACTAAACAATACAGTTGACAGTAGTATCAGATATGAAAATTCGTGAAAGGATTTGTGAGATCCTGATTTTGCATTAAAAGTACAATTAATTGCAACACAAGTCGGCATTAGAAATTATGATTATAAGTTTACTGTTCAATATTTTATAACCATCAAATAAAAAACATAAAGTTTGTATATTTTCGCCCGTTTTATACAACTAATATTTAACAAAAATACAGACAAATTATTATTAAATAACGCAATAATTAACACATTAATTAAAGGCAATAATTCAAGATAGATGGTAATTTAAATTGTTAAAATGTCATAACGCGAATTAAAAAACATATTATATTTGGTATTTCCAAATTTGTGTCGTAATTGGCATTTGTCTCTTAACATGAAAAATTAAAAATTTTTAAAAACACAATTAACAAATACAAATTTTCAAGCAATTTTCTCTTCCAATTCTCACTTATTCAAAGAAAATTTACTATTAAACTTTTATTTCTCTCATCTAAAAAAAGAATCAGTGAAGCAAAAAAATATATATATTCTATACAACTCTTACTCATTTAAAGTTTAATTGCGCGAAACGTTTCTTTCTCTTTTGTTCTACTCTTTTATAAAAAGAGCGCCCGATGAAATAAAAACTTTTCTTTTTTAACATATAATTATAGTTTGAGATAAAATTAAATTAGAAATAAATCAACAATGAGCAAAGCAACGAACAAATTAATCTGGAACTATTTTGATATTTATGAAAATAATCAACATAAACAACATTGCCAACAACAATTATCAAATAAACAACACAATCTCGCATAATTTTAGGGGCATTTTATTTTTATTGCTTAGTCGTTCTAAATAATAAGTAATTTTAATTCAAGTTAATAATTCAATATTTACAGTTGCAATAGAATAAAGAAATGGTGTTTAATACTGAACTTTTTATTTAGTTATTTATTTTTTTACCTACATTTGTTATAAAAAACTTTAGAACCCCCGTCATTAAATAATTTGTTTTAAATATATATTGATTTACGTGATTATTCAAACTAATTTTTTTCGTTTGACTTTCCGAACTTCATGCAAAGCAAATTGAAACGAAATATCGTCTAACCAAATAAAAAAGCTGTTACTAATTTTATACGGGTAATTAATGTAAAATAATTTTTGAGATAATAAATATTCATAATTTATAAACATTAAATATATGGCGCAATAACAATTTATAGCAACGAACCAGCATAAAATATTTAAGGTTTTTAATATCTTTTTAAATATTAAAAGTAGAAAAAAAAAAAAAAAAAAAATATACAAATAATCAAAAAAACTTCGACTAAAAATAAATAAAAATATTTCTAGAGTTTAATTTATTAAAAGTCTACCGTGACGTCAAATACTAAAACTTTTATGAATTAAACGCGCTTCAGAGGAATTGCCAAAGTCTGTAGATTGCGACGCATAATTTGAAGACTCCAATTAGTTGAAAAAAATGGAGAAGACGAGCTTCGGCAAAAACAACAACATTTGTTTTTCACGGTATGCATTCATTATTTATTTTTAATCAAAAAAATTTGGTTCAAACCTTTTTTTTTAACATTATCTTTAATATGAACACAACATGTGTTGGGAGTTTGGGATCCCTTTAAGTCTAAACTTTATTGCATTACTGATTGAGCATCAAATAAAAAAATAGCCAAGTATTGTACCAAACTCTTCTGTAATATCATTAAAGACCTGAAGGAAAATACATCAAAGAAGTATTTGCAGTGGTAACAGATAATGAAAATAAGATTATTAAATGAGGGATTTAATCAAAGAAACATCCAAATCTTTTAACATAAGAGTGTTCTGCGCAATCAAAATAAGATTTTATAGGTGTGAAGCGGAAATAAGAAAAATAAAATCATTATGTTGATTAAATAAACAAAAAAATCAAATTTTTTTTAGATGCAGTGTCAGCTGTCATCTATATACATTGTTTATATATCTTAATACATTGTTTCCAGTTTAGGGTGTTGGTTGCTGTATCTTCTTGACTCAATGCATGGGTTTTGCTTGTGTCTCTGTTTTTATAACTAGGCAACTCATTCTAATATTTTCTAATGAGGGTACAGCTCTAAAACTCAGTTTTATGGTTTTGAGACCAGCTGGTAATCAGGATTCCCGAACTCTGTAGTAGCTCTCAGAGAGGCTGATTCTATCAACAGCTGTAAAATATCAAAGTACTAACAGTGCCATGTTGCACATATGTGGTGTCCCTGTTTGTTCTTTTGGTATACATTGTCAAGGCTGTATTTGGAGCCCTTTGTTACGGCTAAGGGTTTATTAGTCGTATTGAGGCAATTGTTTGGACTATTAAATAGTGTACTAAGTATTCTGTGCTTTGAGTCAAGTTTTTTACCAAATTTAAAAATGACTAAAGTACTAAAAACTATAAAACATAAAAAACCATCATCATCATAAGTTCTCTAACTCTATCATTCACTAATATTCAAAGTCACTTTTCTTTTGTTGAATCTTATCTCTTGCAAAGATCACCAGACTTTTTTGCTTGCTCTTTCTAATTTTCATAAAAGTTGACTTTTGGTATATGACGATGTACCTTTTTTGAAGAAAGTATGTCTTCCTGACCAAGTCTGTGTATGTGTTTATATGTATCAATTCGATTATATCAATTTGAATAAATCAAACTTTTTTACTCTGAAGAATAAGTTTAGTAGTTTAGGGGTTCCCCTTTTTATTGCAGTTTTATTAATTTTTTTGTATTTTGTATGTTTATTTCTGTTTATCAATTTAATATCTTTCATATGTAAAACTGTTTACCATTTTAATATCTAGTTTAGTCCAGCTGATATATCATTTTTAACGTTTAGATTTTTATATTGCGCTGATCACGAATTTTCTCACCTTTGCATTGCTGATGCTTTTAAAAATATTTTTTATTAGTTTGAAAGTAAAAGTTTTAATTTTTTTTTAATAGCATGAAAATATGTATTTTTTTCATAGCAACTTCAACGTTTTGATCAAAATGATGGAGTGTACACAACTAATGATGGTCTTTTGGAGGGGAATCGATGGAAAAATAGATATAAAAATATATTACCATGTATGATTATTTGTTTACAAATTTTCATTGAGAATTTTTAAAAAAAGATTTTCTTGATTTTACTTTTTGTTTCACCATTTTTATTTTTTTTAAAGATTTTTTGAGTGCTAGGTGTTTCTGTGAGTTTTTGTGTTGCATGTTTAATAATCTTAAAATTAAAATATATATCAAAATCTTTTTTAGATGATCATTCACGAGTGAGAATAAAGGGAAGTGATCTAAGTGATCCATGTAGAGATTACATTAATGCTAGTTACATTGACGTAAACATTTTTTTTTTTATTTTAACTTCAGATTCATTTTTTACATTTAAAAGTTATAATGACCAAATATTATCTATTTGTCTATTAAATATATATAATTTATTTTACATGTTTTGATTTTTCTAAGTTCAAATAGGTTTGTAGCAATAATAACTGATAAACATTAGCGAAAGCTGTAATGAATGCTACAAAGTAGAGGAAAGTGAAAAGAAGAAAAAGTGAATAAATTAAAAATCTGTTAGTTTAAAAAAAGGTTTTTTTTAGAATTTGTTTTCCATTACTATGAAAGCTATCAGAGGGACAAGCAGAAAATATCTGTTTGAAAAATATTAGAGAAAAAATGACCTACATAAGTCATTAGAAAAACTTACCAGTCTTTAATATAATTAGATGAACTTATGTAAAAAAACATTTATGAAAAATATGTTTTTTTATGTTGCAACTGATTTGGGTTGGCAGTTAACAAAAAAAGATTTTTCAGATACTTTTGTTTTAAAGTTAAAATAATTTTTTTTTATCTTTTTAGCTTAAAACTTAATGCAGTAAAAATAAATCCCTGGATAGTTTTGATTTTGTTTACATTTACTTATTTTTAATGACGCATGTCTTTGTAATTCTACAAAAAATGGGGTTTTAAAATTGTTAACTTATGTTGATTTTTCAAATTTTTAAAAAATAAGATAGCTACTTTTAACTTGAGATTTTTTTTTTTTTTTTTTTGAGTTTTTTTTTATAGTTAAGTGGTTATAGAATAGATCCAGCAATTTTTGATATTAAGATGGAATAGATTATCTATTCCATCTTCCTGTTTATCTATTATTGAAAGTTTATATATTCCATCTATTCCATACTCCTATCAATTAATCGCTGAACCTATTCTATAACCACTTAATTATATAATAAAACTTTATTTAAAATATAACCAACAATCAAAAAATTTTTACCAAAAAATTTTTAGTTCATTTAGCTTGAGTTTTTTCATTCAATACGTTATTTTTAATAAAACTTTGCGAGAGAAATAAATTTGATTGTATTCAAATGTAAAATAAACAATCTCACAAAGATTATCAGTTTGTTTTGCATTTGAATAAAATTTTAGATTACTTAATGAATAAAAAGAAGAATTCAGAACAAAATGTAAATTATCAATTTTAATTTTATTTTTGTTCAATAAGTTTGTTAAATTTAAATCAAACTATTAAAAGAATATTTTAAAAAAAGCACAGTTTTTTTACTTTTACAAAACCATTACAAAGTTTTAAAAGAATATTTTAAAAAAAGCACAAAGTTTTTTTACTTTTACAAAACCATTACAAAGTTTTAAAAGAATATTTTAAAAAAAGCACAAAGTTTTTTTACTTTTACAAAACATTACAAAGTTTTGAAAACTTTTCTAAAAATTAAATATTTTAGATAAATTTTTATCTAAAAAGGTCTACAATGTACTCAAATGAAATAAAAAGTTTTTTTCCCTTTTATATCACTATCTTCTAAATCTATTACCAATTGTAAATGTATTTTTAATATTTAATTTATAAAATTATTTGTTATATATTCAGTAATAAATTTATACATAGAAACTCATTAACATACATAATGGCATATGCAAATAATAAATAATGATAAATACAACAATAGTATTTTAATGTAAATGTTTTATTAAATCAAAACTTAATGTTGTTTAGTGGCCTTTTTTTAGCAAACTTTTTTTTGAGTGGCCTTTACGTTCTGCCTAAGTGTGATGTCACTTTATTGGTATTACTTAAGTGTGATGTCACTTTTTTTTTTTTTTTTTTTTTTTAATTTTACTTCACCTCCTCAAGGCCGAGAAGGCCACTACAGACGAGGAGGCTACTTATTTTGTGGCTATAACCCTCTCTCAACTCTATAACTCCGAAACACGAACCTTGACGAACAAGGCTGCTGCGCAGAGAAACGAGTTGAGCGCGGTACTACCAGGGACGTGGTGGGGATCGAACTCGGAACCACTCGTTTATGGAGCAAGCGCTCTACCACTACACCACTACCGCATAACTTTATTGGTATTACTTAAGTGTGATATCATTTTATTGGTATTACTTAAGTGTGATGTCACTGAGTTTTTTTATTGGTATTGATAGTAAATTTTTTTGTTTGATTGATCCATTGTTTGAGTTGCTTGCATACAACAGTATTTTAAACACATTTAAATTCTAATTTGCATTTAAATCTTGCTCTTACTTCTTGTGAACATTTATGCTCTTTATTTATATTCATTCAATGATTTAATTTAAACTTTATATTATTAAATTTTATATTATTAAACTTTATATTATTAAACTTTATATTATTAAATTATTAAAATTAAAAAAATACTATGGTATTAAAATTCTTGCAGTATTGTACGAATTTCTTGCGAATTTGGTTTGAGAAATCAATTCATCAACTTCTTTTTTTTTTTTTTTTTTATCTTTTGTTTAAAAAAAATTATTTTACATTTAATGTAAGAGAATGTTAAAAAGTTTTGAAAAAAAAAGCTTTATTCTACTAAACTTCTCTCCCTGAAAAAGATTTCATTTCAAAGGATTGCTAATAAAAATCCAATAATAAACAACTTATTTTTCAATTCAATTCACTTTAATTCAATTTTTTTTTTAACCTCATTAAGAGAAAAATTGACACAACTAACTTTTGTAAGTAAATATCTTGGATTATATTAAGTATATAATCCATAAACAGTTTAAAAAATTTAAACCTAATAACAAAGTATATGATTTCATTTTTGCTAAAATTTGCTGAATACTCAATATGTTTTTTTAGGTCGAACTAAAAACTTGGAAAGTAAAATACATTGCTGCACAAGGTTGTCTAAATTCAACAATGAACAGTTTTTGGGATATGGTTTACCAACACAACAGCTATATAATTGTCATGCTGACAAATGAAATGGAAGGAGACAAAAACAAATGTGCAAAGTACTGGCCTGATTTAGGTTAGCCACATTTTCGAGTTGATTGTTTACCAGTATTTTAATAGTTTATTTATTAAATAAATTTAATTTTGTTACATTTTAATAAATAGTTTTAAAAAATTTAATTCAGAGGCTTGTTTTCATTACTAATCTTTAAAAATTTACATTTTTATCCTTTTTTTTTTTGTTATTAGGTTTATCATCAGAGTATGGAAAAATTGTAGTTGATAATATGTTGGAACATCAAAATAAACACTTTGTTATGCGCGAATTAAGAGTTTATCATACAGATAAAGTAATATTTTTTTAACTAATTTAAAATGCATTAGATAAAAGAAAATTTTAGGTTTCTCAAATCTAATAGTCAATCTGTCTTTTTAATCTCTCAAAAATTTTATAGAAAATATTTCAATTTAGTATCAAACCTGTAGTCAATGGTACTATAGTGTATATCGGTGTATATAGATATACACCGACTTTTTTGGTGACGTAAATCCTTCTGGTTTTTTTGAAAAAAAAATGAAGTATAATAAAAAATGAAGTATAATAAACCCTAACATGTATATTTATTATTTAAATAAAAATTTATAAAAAAAATTATTATTATTATCACTATTTTTTGAGCTCACTAATTTTTATAGCTTTTGAAAGAAACTTAATAATCTTAAATTACTTAATTAATTTGATGAGAAACAAAAAATAATGTTTTTCATGCCTACATTTAGGAATCAATTCCAATATTTAATAAATATTTTTGGTTTGCATGTGTAGTTCAAATAATTTAATTCAAATTTTTCTTGAAGACATTATATGCATTTTTTAGAAATATTGTTATATGCAGGTACTGTTTTTAAAGATTAACTAATTCAATATATATGAGCAGCCATTGTTGCAGTGGTAGAGCACTTGCCTCAGAAACATAGGATTCGTGGTTCAAACCCCTCCTCTGGGCAAGCTTTGTGACATTGGTTAGGAAGGAGGCGTGAACTTCCAATTAAATGCTCATCCTCGGTGCTCTGTGATAAGACTGTAAGGACTTTTTGGGGACACCTAAATAAAATAAAAAATAAATAAAATAAAATAAAATCATTAATTCTTTTATCTTTTAATTGTCATATATATTTTGACAGATTTTTTTTTAAGGGTTGCTTATGATTGGCTAAATTTTCCATTCACCCTCTGTTAAGCCATTATATTATTTATCAGGTACCTTCTTAGAGAAAACAATACATTTTTATGCATTTTTATTGCACTCTTATTTTCAGTGTCAAATTTCTGTTGAAGTTTTTTTTTTAAGGGGCACCTAAATAAAGTAATGTAAATGCATTTAAAAGGAATTATATACATTTTCATCAGAGGAGTTTTTGATTAGCCTGTGATTAATTGAAATTGTGATTTGTTTTAGACTTTAAGGTGGATGGTTTGAGTTAATGTTAATATACAATAATTCATCATTTGGTTTTTTATTTTCATAGAGGTTAAATGCGACATCAAGAAAACTCACAACTTTTATCACAGTATCACATTGTCGTTATATCACATTATCACATCGTCATAATGTTGCGTCTCTTTCTCTTTTCTATAAATACTATAATGGGTACTGCTCTAAAGAGCTAGCGTTTCTTGTGCTATCTTCTAAAAATCATTCTATTGTTACTTGTCATTCAATTAAGTCTCATTCTTTTACTGTGACTTTTTGTGAAAATCTTATTCCTCTAGTTTTTTTCCTCAAACATCATTCCTTTGCTTCCTTCATCATGTTTTCCTGATTCATATAATTTGCAATCTTTAAAGTAGTCTATTAATTGTTATCTTGCTCTACAAAGTTCATCTTTTCTCTTCCAGTAACTTCCAACATTAATGGTGGTTGCTAACCTGGCTATGGTCTAGAAAGTTGTTTTTTTATGTACTAATTTAGGAAAGTATTTACTTTTATGGATTGAACAATGTCTTCCACCCGCAACTATAATTACAAAAATTAGCAGGCCCTATTATTATTAAAAAAAAAGTTTTTCAAAATTATGTGATGTAGGTACTCAAATAAAGCCAAATTTAATGAAAATTTCAAAAATAATAATTTTTCCATATAAAAATTATTATTTTAGATTTTATTGCATAATAACTATAGCTTTTTAACTAAAAGTGAAAAAGGTGCATTTCTACATGTTTTTTTAAAACAATTTTTTTCGGCAATATAATTTTTATAAAACGATTATTAATTTCAAATTTTTTATAAAATTTCGCTTCTTTTGAGTACCAGGTTGACCTACTTTTGAAAAACTTTTTTTCCCCAAAATATTAGGGTACCGGTAATTTTCCCAATAAAGTTGCGCCCTTTAAATCTATCACAATCATTCTCATATTTGATAGTATCAATATTAATAACTATTAGCAATGTTTAGAGCCTGTTACAAAAAAAAAATTTTTTTTGACCCACCCTAATATATATATATATATATATATATATATATATATATATATATATATATATATATATATATATATATATATATATATATATATATATATATATATATATATATATACTAAACATCCTGGATTGTCAACCAAAAAATATAATAAGCAAAATTCTTTCTCAGTTCAATATACTAATCAATTTGAAAATGGTTATAAATAATAGTATTATAAATATTGAAAACGGTTATTAGAACTTGGTTTATCTCATTATGTCATTAAATCAGCCAAAATCTAAACTGTAATCAGAGTACTGAACTTCTGTGGAATCTTCTTCTATTTCTTCTTACATACATCACAAACCAAATCTTTGATACTG